CCCCTGTGGTAGAGCATCTAGGGTAGGATCTTCCATGTTGATACATGGACAGTAGAGATCAGGATATGTGACCCAGCCATTATGAGGAGATCCAGTCTGTGTGACAGCCAAACATACTCTTCTCAGGATAGGTGAAGAAAATGCATGAATCATGGCTCTCTTGGCCATCAAAGGATGATCAGGTGCACCTCAGTTGGTGATGACTGGTCAGAAGAGGGAATGGAGGGAAGGCATATAGGAAGAGGCTGCACCAACTGAAGAGAAAGGCATCTCCTCGCAACCTGGCCTGCAAAAAAAGTCTAGCTCAGAACACCCAATTGCTGAAAAATGGGCTTCAGTATCTCAGGATGGAGCATTTACTAATGACTTTAATGTGTTTTTTGACTGAGGGCATCTGCAAGGACTTTTCCTTCTCTGGATGTCTCTCTACAGCCAACAGTTCCAGAGCATTGATGTGAATGCTCTTTTCTTCCAGTGACCAAAGACTTTTCACAATGAGATTATCTAAATGGGCACCCCATTCCAACATTGATGTATCCATCATGACCAGGGCTTGAGATCTGGGGATTGAGAAGGGCATCCTGACTTGGATGTTGGACAGACCTAATCACCACTGCAGGGACTTCTGTACTAACCATGAGCTTTCTCAGAAAATCCCAAAGCAGATTGGATGCAGCAATGAACCAAACCTGGAAAAGACATATCTGAAGGCAGACATTTGAGGTCACCAATGTGGTTGACGCCAAGTAGCCCAGAGTTACTTGAATCAGTCAAGCCCTGAGATATCAGTATCCAAGGCAACTCCGTAACAACTTGCATAGATTGTCAAAAGAGTGGAGAGGAAGGAAAGCAGCCTGGGCCAGAGTGTCTAGGATTGATGAACTAAATTTTATGTGTCAGCTGAGGCAAAGTCCCAGTCTGCCTAAAAGAGTCAATATCATCTGTACATGCTGTATCAAGAGGTTTCTGGAGGAGGTGATGACTAACAAGTTGTCTATGTATGGGTATAGTATGGCATCTTGCTGCTGAAGAAAAGCAACCACTACAGCCATCATCGAGGAGCCAGGCTGTGGCTAAATGGTAGAACTCAAAACCTGTATGCCTTTTCTCCTACAGCGAAGCATAGGACAAGGTCCTATGTGAAAAGTCAAATTGAAAAATCGGGGGAAAAAGTGTTATAGACACTGCATTAGGTGGGTGGATGGGTAGAATACTATAATAGCAAGGTAGTCAGCCAGACAGTGTTTTATTTTTAAATATATTTGTTGTATTGACTGATTGTAAATATATATATATATATATATATATATATATTTGTAAAGGTATTTCCTGTTGACAAGGTTGTCAAGACGTGTCCGACTGTAGAGGGTGGTGCTCATCTCCATTACTAAGCTGAAGAGTCAGCGTTGTCAGAAACTACTCTGTGAACATGAGGCCAGCATGATTGTACAGAATGCTGTTACCTTCCCACTGAAGTGGTACCTATTTATCTACTTGTACTTCCATGCTTTTGAACTGCTAGGCTGGCAGAAGCTGGGACTAGTGACAGAAGCTCACCCCATCCTGCAGCACCCGGGCCTCGAACTGCCAACCTGCCAATCTTGCAATCAACAGAGTCAGCTTCTTAACCACTTGAGCCACTGAATCCCTATATATATATATATGGAGAGAGTTGGACTACGACTCTGGACTACAACAATATAAAAAGAGAGCTTTGGATAAAGAGTGGGGTACAAATGTTTTATAAATAAATTACTTAACAACCTTGCTGAATCAAACAAGACTTAACATTTTAGGTCATTCAGTGGTAAAGCAAAACATCTTTGCTAAAGGCCAGCTTCAGTGGACCACAGAGAGTCCAAACAATGCATGATAGAAATGGCGATCTTTAATAACTATTTTGAGAAGAAAAATGGATAAACAGGAAAAAAGCAGAGCAATAGAAGA